CTGGATTCAGAATCAGAATTAATCAAAGATTGTATGATTAAATGGGCACAAAATTTTGGTGAACCAGTTCTATTGGATACCTGGGAAATTATCTGGGTGAGAAATGTTAAATTTACGCAAGCCCAGAACTTAAGGGAGAATTTTTATAAAATGTTTTATAGATGGCACCTTGATCCACAAAAAATGTCTCGTATGTATCCTGACTTACAGCCTAAATGTTGGAGATGTGGATGTTTGGATGCTCCCTACTATCATATCTGGTGGTCGTGTAAAAATATAAAAGCTTTTTGGATTAAGATATGGTGGAATATTCAAAGAATTTTTAGAAGGAGGGTAAAATTTACCCCACAATTATTTTTGTTAGGTATTGTTACTGATTGTGATACTAAAGAGATTATACTGATGTTAAATTTAATTACAGCCACAAGGCTGTTAGTAGGGAAATATTGGAAGAAGGAATCTTTGCCTACCTTGCAAGAGTGGTTTTTTAAAGTTTCTTATCTGGCGGAAATGGCAAAGATTTCGGCTTTTTTAAAGGAGAAATCAGAAGAGAAATTTTTTGCCGTATGGGAAAAATGGATAAATTTCATACAATATAAATTGGCTATAAAAAATACCATTTAGCTTTTTCATAACTTGTATTTAAATTTGATATTTTATAGATTGTATTCTTTCTTTCTTTTCTTTTCCTTTCTTTCTCTTTTTTTCTTTCTTTTTCTTTCTTTTCTAAGTATTTTTTTAATGTATATGTTTTTATTGTTATATATATTTTATTGTTAATTACCTTACAAGTTGATTAATTTTTTTTAGAATTTTTAAAATTTTAATTAAGCCTATATTCAGCTCTGGGAAGCTCGGGGGGGGGATGGAGGGGGGTGGTTTGGGAGGGTTTGGGAGAGGGTTGTTTTATTTTTTGTTGTTGTTGTTTTTTGTTTTTTGTAAAACTTTTAAAAAATTTTCAATTAAAAAAAAAAAGACCAACCTATTTTGATAATCTTTGGTGCAGATGGTAGAGCACTTGTAATGGTGTAATTGTCTAATTTTCTTAGATTTGGATGAATATTTTTTCAAGCGAAAGACCTTGAATGCTTCAGAAAGGGAAATACAGTAATATTTTATTAGTAAGAATGAATAAAATTGGTGGCAAACTGAACAGCTTACCCTATTTATTCTTAAGGCATTTAAGGCACATAAAATGCAAACCATTTACAGTATTTCAGTTGGAAAATGATAAAAACTTTTTGTTAAAGTTTCCATCATTTTCCAACTGGAATACTGTAAATGGTTTGCATTTTATTCCAGCAGAATGCAATTCCCTCAGAACATTTTGGATAGGGTTATTCTGTTGAGTTTGAGGTATGATTATTTTTTTATTCACACAATGTATGAACTGGGAAGGAATGCCTGCCATTCTAGGGGTATTGAAGTCTTTATCATTGTTATTTTCTTTTGGGGAAAGACAGAAGTGACAAGCAGCAGTAGTCAAAAGTACAAGTCACAAGCAAAAGAACATTTCCACAGAGATCTGGGAAAAATCCAAGTAAAATCTGGAGAGCCTTTTGCCAGTTGGTGTACACAGTTCTGAAATTGACAGTTTAATAACCTGGAAATACAGTTTCCCATACAGGAAGTCCTTGACTTACAACCATTTGTTTAGTGACCTTTTAAAGTTATAATGGCACGACCATTTTTCATACTTACAACCCTTGCAGCATCCCTGCAGTTATGTGATGAAAAAATCTGGACCTTGGCAACTGACATGTATTTATGAAGGTTGCAGTGTCCTGGGGTCATATGATCACCTTTTGCGACCCTCTGACCAGCAAAGCCAATGAGGAAGCTAGATTCACTGAACAACCATGTTAAAAATTTAACAACTGCAGTGATTTACTTAACAACTATGGCAAGGAAGGTCATATAATGGGGCAAAACTCACTTAACAACTGTCTTGCTTAGCTATAGACATTTCGGGCTGAATTGTGGTGGTAAGTCAAGGACTACCAGTAGATTGTTTCAGTAGTCCCAGCTCGAATTATCAGACCATCCAACAGGAACAAAATAGTCTCAGACATGTCAAACACAAGGCCGGATACGGCCCACAATTGGCTGATATTTAGCCTGCGGGGATGCCCCAGACATGGTAAAGGACTGGCCCCAGCCAACCTGGCGGCCCCCAAGATGTGCGCACAGGAGGTAGTGAGCGTGTGGGGACTGACAGTGTACGACAGCAGGGGCTGCATAGCCCTCTGTGAATACCGGGCTGGCTCTTCAGCAACAGCATTGTGATGGCAACGGCAGCACGTGGAGTCATGGGAGGGCGCACGTGATGGGGACTGCCGGCCACACCTACTCTGTCCCATCTCTTTTTGATTGGAGAACAGGTTGCCACTGGTCATCTCAGCTCCCTTGCAGGTCTTACCTTTGGCCCGTGGGTGGAGTGCATTCCCCTCGCACACTTCGGTACCCACCGCAGCCGCTTGCGCAGGTCCATTAGGCCGCAGCCTGGAGCAGCAGGCCTACCCCACATGAAGGAGGTGAGGCAGTCAGCTAGGAAGCCCCAAGTAGAGGTGGTAGAGCACACCTTGGGCCAGCAGAGATGGGTGAAGGCACGCAATCCTGGCTGGGACTGTGAGACCATGGCGCCAATGGGGATCCGGTTTTCCCAGCTTGAGGTGGTCTTTGGCTTGCTGGGCATTGGCGTGCTCTACCACCTCTACTCGAGCTTCCTACCTGGCCGCTTCACCTCCTTTGTGCTGGGTGGGCCTGTTACTCTGGGTGGCGGCAGCAACCTAATGGACCTGTGTGAGCTGCTGGCGGCAACCTGAGTTGGGGCCAAGGTGCATCTGGTGCACAGGGGGAACAGGCTCCACGCGTGGGCCAAGAGCAAGATCTGCAAGGGGGCCAAGGAGATGACCAGCAGCGACCTGCTCTCCAACTGCAATCTCTCCAACCCTGCCGGGCCCCCATAGGCATCCCCCCACGAGCAACATCAAGGTGGCCACGCCCACCCTGCCCCCCTGAGGGCACCACAATGCTGGTGTAGCCCTCAATGAAATCGAGTTTGATACCCCTGGTCTAACTGATCAGCTGTTAGATCTTCAATGCCAAAATATTCTTAATAAGGCATTAAATTTAGAATTAATCTTGTCTGAACTGAAAATGATGAATAACTGTCCTTATTAAAATAGGAAAAGGAAAAAGTTATTTTCTTATTTTTGCAATATGTTTATTTTTTAAAAAAAGAACTTTTTTATGCAACTTAGAATCACAAACTGTGAAGAGGAAGCCTCATAAATGTTTTAAATAAACAAACAGTTAATTTCTTCCAAAAACATTTCCCAGGGTGGACAAAATATTCCAAATGTGAGTTAGGTTTAAATTATGATTAGAACTTTGCCAAACCATGTTTCCAGCTAGGAAAGTCCAACAACAATTTAGGAATGCAAAAACAAACAAGCTATATTGGATTTTAATATAAAACAATCAAGTACCTTTCCAAACATCATTATTCAAACCCGTTAAAATATGGCAGCAATAAAAATCACATTTTTTAAAAAACTAATGCAAATCACAATATGATCCATAAATTACTAAGCACTAATTTTAATGAGAGATTTAAGCATATTTTTCTTAATTTAGTTTTTCAAGTGTTTTTATTCTGTTAATTGTCAACCAGAATCATGCATTTAAGATGGGAAACATCCAACACATTTTCTTCCTATTTCCCCCACAAGTCTGTGAAGGGAGTTGGTCTGAGAGTGTGTGACTGGCCCAAGGTCATTCAGGCGGCTTTCATGGCTGAGGCGGGACTTGAACTCATGGTTTCTTGATTTCTATTCTAGACGAAATATTATTTGCTGATATACAGATGTCCATAGATTTCTTTATTATAGCAATTCATCTATTTGTGAATTGCTAGTTCATGGTGAGCTACTTCAAATCAATAAATTTCTGAGACAAACGTAAGACAATTTTATTAAACATAGTTTTAAGATTCTTAAGAGTTAATGCCTAAGCAAGCATTTTTTATCATATAACTTATACAAGTTATTTTGAATTTTCACATTGTTTTTAGCTCAATAACTAGCTTTTTATTAGCTAGTCCTTGCTTACTAGCTGCTCATTCAGCAACCATTCAAATTCCCGCAGTCGTGTGATTGCCAAGTACAACTTCACAAAAGGCTTCTAAGAAGCAATGGGGAAGCCAGCAGGAAGTTGCAAGTCAGACATATGAAGCTGCGCTTAATGACTACAGGTGATTCACTTAATGACTGTAGCTGGAACTGACATCAGAAGTCAGTGTGGTCATAGTAGGTTTACAAGAGACATTTCCTGCAAGGAGTTTTTTAGACTGCACTGAGGAGATGGTTACTACATCTCAGAATAGTTAAAAAGATGGAAATCTCGAATAAAACATCTTCATAATTGGATAGAACCGCTTGAGGAGCTGCCTGGACGTGAGGAGGAGGAGAAGAGAAGATCTGGAGATGTATAAACAGGCTGCACACTGATCTGGCTAGAACCAAAGATTACATTACATGGGAAAATGGGGATTTCTCCTTGAGGATGAGGATATTCCCTGTAAATGTGGCACTATTCAAGCAACTAAACATCTTTTATACTGCCCTCTGGGATTGACTTGCACACAGAATGACTTGCTGATCAGAAATATCTCTGCCATTAACATGGCCCAGTACTGGGCTAAAACTATATAACTCTATATTGTATTAAACCTTTTAATTTTGTTTAAATATTAAATTAATAATATCCCCTTTCCTAGTTCCTGCATTTCTGACACGAGATAAAGATGAGACAAGACATTATGTTTCACTTTATGATCACATTGCTTAGCCACAGAGTTGCTCAGTCCCAATTAAGGTCTGTGAATGAGGACTATCTGTATAGACACAATCTCTCAAGCCTAATTAAATATTCATTTAGAAGCACTAAAAGTTTCATTGCATATAAAATAAATTGTTCTACTTAAAAAAAATACATACCTAGGACTTTCACGGCACAATGCGGACTCTCCAGAGTTACTCCTTCTCCTGTGTCAAACATAGGATTGTCTATTCCAGTTTTGGGAGGAATTTGTGCCAGCTTCTTCAGTCTCATAGAAGAATTAAGATCAAGTTCTTGTTTTTTCCCATCTTCTTCCCGTCTTCGTCTTAGGTCCTCTTGCTGCTGTCGAATCCGTTCAAGTTGAGCACTCCGCCGTAATGGCATCATGCGGTTGTCTAGATCACTTGGGCAATCCACAGCCATCTCCCTGTGTTTCTGAGATTCTTCAAGAGGTGCAAGATCCATAATTTTTGTTTCACTGTCTGAATCTTCGGTTACATGTCCATTCATATGAGAAGTTGTCATTGTTCTATGTGAGAAGTTATACGGCTTGTCAGACATAAATTTTATTATAACACTTCTTTCCTTGATAGTTCCACTTAAAATTCATTATAATGTTAAATAATTCTTCTTATGCATTATAAGAGGAAAATGAAAAGATATCTCCAGGAAGAAATCTGAAAAAAATTAAATGTAGATTATATTAAAATGAATAAAATTAATGTAGAAAACCTAATTCTTATATTTAATATTGTATGTACCTTAATTTTCTAGAGGAAAACTCTATGTCAAGCTATACCAAATTTCCTTGTTCCAAACTCTCAAGTAAAAAGCTACTTCTATTTAGGGGAACAAACTAAATTAAAATTGGAAAGAACATTCTATGTGCTATAATTAAATTATAATGGAGAAGCCTCAACTCCAAACTCACTTTAAACCTATGAAAATCTGGAAATGTCTAGAAGAAAATGCATGGAGACACATTTTCAAGTTACCTGTATTTGGATTAGGTGTATGGTATTTTATTTCACAACTGTTTAGTGGCACAGTTTTTGCCTTCATTTTATATATTTCTTATATACAAAAGTTATTATTTTAGGAAAACATATTCTGGTACTTATTTAAAGTGTGTTTACTTAATCTTATTAACAAAAAGTTTTAAAAGCATTTTTTCTCTGCTTTCAAACAGATATATCTTTTTCTATGCACATTGTACAAGGAGTTTCTAGTTCTCATTATAAAATATTAATACATACAACAAACATTAGAATATGCTTTATATTATGCTATAGGAAAGTCTTGTTTCTGTAAATGTCACTTTATCACTGTGTGCTATCCTATCCATTTTATTAATACATGCTGGTGGCAAAGCAAAACCATGGGGATCACTACAATATAAAAACACTTAATAAAACAATTGCTTATTTATAGCAATCAATTTCCTTTACTCCCATTTGTTTAACAGTTGTTCCTTAGTTTAAAAGGGTGGTTTGTTTGAAACTTGTACTTGATTTCAGCATATCTTTTATTGTCATCAACTAAATTTAATTCATTAAAAGATAAAAATGCATCTCCCTGTTCACGTATTGTTACCTTTCTACATTACATGAAGGACCATATAGTACACTTTTGTTTTTAATAGAACATTATCACATGTTCATGGAATAAAAGTGGTGGCTACTATCCCTTGAGATCTGGCATGTAGTCACACTGCTTCTAGGGACAAATATCGAAATATTATATTTGTTACTATAGCCAATAAATAGCTATTATTTAATATACTACTACTAACTACTAAAACTCTCTTGCTTGTATGGGCAAAGCGGTGTATCGCAGGGCAATAATTTAAAACCAAGGTACCTCAAATGGGCTATTTTAAAGAATGCATCCAGAACCCATGATTCCTATGGAATTAAAATTTGGCAAATTTTATAAAGCATTTAATGGACTCCAGAAGATGGTAGAGGACAGGAAGACCTGGAGGAACATTGTCCATGGGGTCGCGATGGGTCGGACACGACTTCGCAACTAACAACAACAATAAAGCATTTAATGATCTAAAATACAAAAGTACATTAGGTCAGCTATTCTTGAAGGTAATGAGGAATCTGGTAAGGAAATATCTCTCACAAAGTAGTAGTCTCTCATTTTTGTAGTTGCCAAGTTCAATTCAGGTTAACTTTTAACTTTTTCAGTCTATCAAGGTTAGGCAGGTTAGTTAACTTCTAGTTGTCACATGCTGTAATAACTATCCCTTAAAATATGTCCTTGCTGAAAAATACAGTTTGTTGCATCATTTCATGAATGATTTTTTTTAAAAGTGAATATAATTATGTCAATAAATATAGCCATTTATTTCAGTTCATTTATATTACATCTATTATCCTTGATTTTAGTGTAATTTCAGTAGATGTTTTTGTAATAAAATTGGCTTAAGATTATCGTCACTAAATAATCTAGTTCAGGGGTGCGAAACGGCCTGAAGCGCCATGCGGTGTCCTGCCACAAGCAACAGCAACGGCCCGAAGCGCTATGCAACCTTCTGCAGTGATTAGCCGCACTGACATGATGACCACACGGCTTGACAAGTGTCAGGGCATGGGAAGCCTTGTTGTGGCGGGCCTACTGGTCAGGTAAGCAGATGCAGGGCATGTAGGGCAGCTTCACCCCCCCTACCCCCGCCTCCAAATAGGGCTTACTTTCAGGGAAACACAGTATGTATTCTTTGTAAACTTCTGAGCTGAATGAGAGGATTTATTGCTTCACAGCAAATCATCTTCCTATATACTGTATATATAAGATAATAAAATGTGCTTGTGCTAACAAAATTTGTATAGCAATAAGCAATAGCACTTATATACGGTTCCAAGTGCTTTTCAGCATTCTGAGCATTCAGCATATTGCCTCCAACAATCTGGATCCTCATTTTACCTACCTCAGCAGGATGGTAGATTGAGTCAACCTTGAGCCAATCAGGATCGAACTCCTGGCTGGGGACAGTTAGTCTGCAATACTAACCATTGCACCATCACAGCTCTTTCATTGTATTAAGATGTAGTTATAAAACTGATGTATGTAAAAAGCCAACCTTAACCAACATATGTTCAGCATTCAATAGTTCAAATGATCCTCATGTATAAGCAATATTTATAGGAATACTATATACTAGTATACCACAGGGCTTTAACTGTATACAGTACCATTCTTAAACCATGGAATTAACATTTTAAGGTCCCTAGTGACAGTTTTGGGCTTCAAGAACTTCAGCTCAAACCTTCTTTGCTCTCACTGTGAGGTCTTGACAAAGGACCATAAAAAGAAAAAAAAACCCAGTGCACACTGTTATCTTCATTGTAGCAAAGTCCTGGTAAATATATTTCCTTTTAAAATAAGAGTAATAGTCTTCCTACAAATGAAACGTTTCAGTTTTTCAGTTTGATACTATGCACTGAAATAGAAAAGAGTAAAAAGAGTGTTTATATCTGATAATCTCCAGTTCACATAATAATGAATAAACAGAATAAGAACTAGATGTAATTCTCATAAATCATCATCATTACCCATTCAATACATGCAAAAGTTTTGCATTCTAAACTCTAAAGTTTGCATATTATAATCTTGTTTGAGAAAACACGCAGCAAATGGAAACTTACGGCAAATCTTAAGAAAGAGCCAGAGCATTTGAAAAATGAATAGCAGTACCTCAGTTAATATGAAAAAATAAGATTGATAAAATCAAAGAAGGGGATGCTATAATAGGAACCCATAATACAGGGGTGTCAAACTCAATTTCACTGAGGGTCACATCAGCATTGCGGTTACCCTCAGGGGGCCGGGTGGGTGTGGCCTACTGGGTGGGCATGGATGGAGTGGATGTGGCCTACTGGGTAGGCATGGCCAGCTCTACATCGCTCGCATCAAGGGTGCCTATGGGGGCCTGGGCAGGAGTGGGACAGAAATGAGGGTCTCTGGCAGAAGGGGGTGGGACCGGGGCAAGCGCCAAAGCATGGTCCATTTCTTCATTCTTCACAAAGGGTGACACCTCCCCATAGGGCCGACACAGCAGGGGCTGGTTCCTTGCTGTTTCTAGACAGTCTTGTGGAGCTAAGACTGAATGCGTTTCAGCATAGATGGCTACCACAAAATTGTACATTGGCTCCCGGCCGGCCTGGGCCAGGGCCAAGGCAGCGGGGGCCGTTCCCTCACTGTTTCCAGGATGGCTTCGCAGGCCACATGAAACCACTTTGCGGGCCGCATCCAGCCCCCAGGCCTTGTGTTTGACATGTCTGCCATAATAAAATCAATAATCAAAGGAACAGCCCAATGGACAAATGTGATGATGAGAATATCTGGATAATCATTTGGATAAGTGGAAATTAGAAAGAGCATTCAAGCCCCTTCAGAATAGAATCTCTGAAGCTTCAAGGAAAGAAATCAGAGAAAGAGAGGAAGAGTTGTAGTATGTATTCAAAATAACTGTTGCAGCTCATAAATCCTAATTAATGAACTTGGCACTATTGTAAAAAGCATCTGGGCTAAAAAAGTAAAAGAATAAAAGCACTACTGTCCTGATATCTATTTCACTTGCCCTATCAAGGAGAAGTGTTGATGCTTTTCCAAGTAACAGGCATCCCAAAGTGGGAAGAAGTGCTGGTAGAGAATGTAAACTATCCCAGTATCTTTGTTTCTCTAAACTCTGTAGAAAGCACAAGAGGATCAACTATTCTTGACATGGATACTTACACAACAGGGAAGATTCAGTAAAAGATTTAGAAATTCCAGGAACACTAGTGGAAAATTGCAATGTGATGACGGAATTCTTCACTTATTTTTGTTGAAGTTCAAAATGTTGATTTTAATAAAAAATTAAGCAATGTGGATTTCATTACAAGAGAATAGGACAAGAAGTTCAAGAGGGATGTGAGTCCTAAAAAAAAAGAGGACAATTAAAAAAAAGTCTAATGGAGACTAGAATGGAAGCCAAACTAGTTATATGAAAACCTTACTAAAATCTAAAAATAAAAAAGGACACATATAGATGGTAGAAAAGGACAAATTGACATGGCATGTAGCCCAGAACTGTAGGGGAAATCCTTAGATTAATGTTATCACTAAGTACTGAAGAAATACTTTGGGCAATAATTTTCTTGAGAAATCTTGATGGAATAAATGAAATGCAAGACAAATGGATGACAGCAAACAGCATTATCCTCAAGAGAGACAGGGCCAAAAGAATCCAAGGAACTAGAGATTTTAATCTCTAGAGCAGATTTAAGAGATCAGTTTGTGATCATCTTGAAAACAGCAATAATTACCAGAAGTCAGCATCAACAATGACAAATAAATTTGTCACGAACAAATTTGGCCACAGTAATCATAATGTGTTTTCTGATTGAATATCTTTGAAAATAGATTGTGCAGATATTGTCAATATAGGTATTCCTTGCTTACTGACAGCCTAATGCAGCAACCAGTTACAATAGTACTAACAAAATAAAATTGTGACCAATCCTTGCATTTACGACTATTGCAGTGTCCTGCAGTCATGCGATCAAAAGCAAAAGGAAAATCATAAGTTATGGTCACAAGATTTTTTGCTTAGCACTTGTGTTGCTTGTCTAAATGGCTAAAAGGGAAAGTGAGGTCGTTAGTTTGTCACAGTAGCATGATTTTCCAC